AAATTCTGTTGTGTGTACTATCTAATGGAATATTTAGTAATTTTGYTGTCGAATAACTAAGGAGAACTACATTTATTTCCTGATAATTTTTGACGGTTKATTTTGCTGGCTTTACCAGTTAAGTAATTGTTAAAAATTGKTGAATGTCTGGTTTCCAGGAAACAACTATATTTTGGGCTAGATTAATTAGGAAAATTGATGACAAATAGTGGAAATTGTGCACATTTCAATWCGGGTTTAATTTGGCATGGTAATTGCTTTTGAAATCATTGGATAAATTCGTACGCAATTCGCTGTGGCTTCCAAAAATCGAATTACCAACCTTAAATTAATTAACGTAATCCATAAACTGGAAGTACACCGTTTCTGTTTATAAAAATTCTACGTTAGCCAATTTTGAGTTACACGACCATGTATTCAATAAACATCAGCTGAACGACCAAGAAGACCAATAAATATCAGACGACTCAAATCGTACTTTATTCAGGGAAGTTTCCTCTTAACTTTGAGTTTAAACGGCACTTCTTTCAAAACAGAAGCAACACTTTATATTCTGAGCCCGAAGGCCAAGCTAGGAACTTTTTCACAACTTGATTTTATAAATAAGTCTGGCTAAAATACGTAAGGCACGTTCGCGCTATTCGAACCGTGTTTGGGGGCACGTTCCTTTAGGTGAATAGGGTAATATATTTGTCAATGTCCCGTTCATAGGTTGCAGAATTTATACAGATGTCTTTATCGCAAGAGTGTACCTACTAAAACTTGCACAATTTTTAGTTTTGGTCTTTACGCTTGTAGAGTTAAAGGAAAATTGCATTCATCAGTATTTCTGCTCAAATGTTTCACTGGTGCTATTCTTTGACACATAGACTAAAAGTGTAGGTATAGCTATATAGATATATCATATAGCTCATAAGATATATATATATATACAAGGACATTTTTACGTTAAAACTCCTAAACGCGTTAAATATCTGAAGCCAAAAGTATGGCTATTATTATATTAATTATTATCGCTTACAGTTAAAATATTATTGAGAATTATATGATATAATTTATTTGGCAATAGAATTTTTTTAATATTTTTTTGTTCAACTGTTGCGTATTGAAATTTAGAATTAGGCGTTTCAAAAAGGCACGATATGTATTATTCAGGAATTATGAACTGGACTTGAAGGTTGTGCAAGATAAATAAGGGCAAGTTAAATACTATTTAAAGTTTGAAGAACCCCATGAAGGTGACGTGAGGAATTGTCGCTCATACAGCCTTTCGTTTTATTTATATAACATAATAAAAATACTTATGCGTGAGAACTCACATGTCCAAAATATTAACATTTTCGAATGTTAAATACAAAATTGCTCAACAATATGAGCAGTACTAAAAAAGCTCGGCTTTGGCCCGCATGAATAATTAACATCTACTTGAATTTTTAGAGTTTGAAGTCATTTTGAATAATCAATTTGAATAATCAAGTAAAAAACATCATTTAATAAAGTTTAGGGAAACGAGACATAATAATGGGAATAGGACAATAGAAGAAATATCGGATGAAGAGTTTTCCAAACTTACAAACTGTAATTTTGGGCGATTAGGTAAATATCGTAAGGTTTCTCTGTCTTTCTCCGACTACGGGTTCTTCGGGACACAAGAATAAATTATCAGTTTTTGTTCAGGAGAAACATGCAAGCTAGCACCTACCTAGAAACTTAATAAATTGGTTATTTTCTAGAGTTCAAAATTTACAAGAACATCCAAGATTTATTGATTTTACGCCAATCGCCGAAAAAATTCCGGATTGTTTGGTACCTACTTATATACAATAAGTAATACTAAAAATATAATTTTTATTTCATAGGCTATGTAGGGAGCTTTTTTATGCAATATGAAATGCATTTTGTTTGTCCCTGAATTAAGTTGCTACTCTTGAGAAGAATTATCAACTATTCTTTTAGAAAAATTAAAAATTACATCTGCTATACAGAAAAGTTTTATATTTGAACACGGTTGAATTTTCCGTTTTTGGACATTTCAATCAGACCGAAGTTATGACCGGAATATGTTCACAASTTAACCATAGTCAAAATCATTGGAAGCGTTCTATTAATACTATTAGTTGATAAATGTAATTTTAATATCTACATAATGAAAATGGACAAAAAACCAAGGCAAATTTTATTGCCAATTTACTTGGTAGCATTTTGAACTGCACAAGTCAATAGCTATAACACAAATATTAGTAAAATGTCAATAATATGTAAATCTATATATYGATCTGTGATAAATTTAAAATATTWAAATTCCATTTTATTTCTAGGCGATATTCGTTATAACTATCAACTGAGTAAAAAGTATGAATAACTTTTTGCTACTCTCTTAACAACACAGTGAGAACATTTTGACTAAAGTTCTGCTGTCTTTTAACCATAGAACAGAAACATTTAACAGTTGAAGCTAATGTTCGGTGGATATTGACCAACAACGTATATTGAGCAAATGCCGCAAAAGCTATAGAGAGTAGAATCTGCAAGATTAGAAAAGTAGAGCTGTTTATTTACAATTGAAAAAATCGTGTTTTTCTAAACTTATATAATATATTTGTAGTTTAAAGCTTAGAGAAGGCAACACAAGTTATGGCTCTATTTAATGTTACACTGAAAACGCCGCTAAAAGCTGAATTTTGAAGAATTTTTTTTCTCATCATATTTGCTTGAACTGTCCAACACGTATATTTCATATGTATTTTCAAAATTATCTTTAATTTACTCAATCACAATTTATCCAAATCAATAGTCTCTACCAATCAACAGTCAGAAAAAAATACTCCAAATTTGGGGCAAGAAATACACCAAACTCTTTAAATGTCTTCAAGCGATGGCCGTCTGATGTTCGGAACATGTTCAACTGCTCCATCCACCAAAATCTGCAGGTTTGCACTTTACAACCCCAACTTTTTCCAGAGCATTTAAAGCAGAAATACTGGCTGKGTATTTCTGCTTTAAATTATTAAAACACCCACTACTAATTTATTTTTACAACTAAATTGTTATGCCAGCAATAAGACAAGTTCTGTTACTGCTATTAAAAATTAATTCGTAAAATAGTTATATGGCGCCAGCCTTTACGTTGGTAGCAAACTTTGGAAATAAATTGATAGTTCTGTAACTTAAGTCCGATTCGGAGCCCGACTTTCGAGAATCAATTTGGATATAGTTTTGTAAGCCGGAATTCTAGATAAGACAAGAGCGCTGCAACTGGATGAAATTTTAATTTTAAGATTCTTGCGATGTACTCACTTGTATTGCCAGGTAAACTGCTGGTTCAATATTCCAAGTGATATAAAAAAAGTATTCAGAAAATTGGCATATAGCAGGTCATACTAAGGTTGGAGATGTGAATATATGGCTTTTAGTTTCAGAGTGTCGACATCATTCCACAGGAGCTTGCAACCATTATGGATGAAAAATTGATTTCACACAAGAAGCCAGAAAAAAAAATGAATATTTCCATTAAAATTCAAATCGCGAAACGTGGCACCATTAAATCCCATTCAAGTTCCCCATAATTGCACTCTGATCGATTGCTCCCCTCATTACAAACCAATAAGCATAAGGGTTGCCTTACGTTTTGACGGATATTTGAAAGCTTCTAAATTCTTTTAAAGCGGATCCGTTGGCAATAAGTCGAAAGCTAGCGATTCCGAACACGTACATCCCAAATGCCGAGGTCAATTTGTACAGCGAAAGATTATAAGAGCATAATAATACCATTGGCAAGTGACGGGTGCTGTTAATATTCGATCTTCAGGGGCGAAGGAAATGCCTGCTCAGAAAAGCGCTTGCCCTAATTCCGGAGGATATTTTTGGGCAATATAAGTATCGGTTAGTATCGGGAGATCTAAATAGTGCACAGTGATATGAACAAGAAAAAATGTTAACTCTGTAATTCCCAAACAAATTGATCCAACAGTGGATTATTCAGTTTATGATTATGTATATGCTGTGCCATTTGAGGTGTTAAATATTATATCTGCCGTCAATTTGAAACCTTTCCAGTCTTAATATCGTTCTTGCAGTAGAAAATATGAAAAATCGAAAAGACCCGCCAATTTTATTTGTAAGGGGGACACTTTAAAATAATATTTTTAGCCACCTTGTTTCAACCCTCTAGGGCGAGTAGATTTTCTTCGGGTTATTCAACGATTTTAACAGTGTAACCTGCTCTTCGAATCATTTGTATTCCAAGGAGGCTCAATACAATTGTTTTTGTTAAAAGTTTAATTGTCTCTACAAATTTGAAGTGCGATTATTCGAAACGCTCTGAACAAAACGCAACAAATTAGTAACTAATACAAAGAGAATTGAACGCCCTTTAAAAAGATGCTCCACTTGACCCACCTTCTTATTTAAGTTTCTAAGGATGACTTTTTTTCCTAGGGGGTTGAAATAAGGAGGCTAAAAATATTCATTTAAAGTGTTCCCCTTACAAATAATAATGACTGGTCTTTCCGATTTTTCATATTTTAAACTCCAAGAAAGATATCAAGGGCGAGAAGTTGACACCCGCTATACCTTTTTGTTCACAAATCGCAGTGATTCGTAGAGACAGAGGTAAAAGACTAAAAAACGAAGAAGGCTCCAATAACCAACCTGCAGTCAAACCTCACGTTTTTGTACTTATATTATTATGCTCACGTTTTATTATTTAAATATTTACACTGGTAAAATAGCCTTAATCAGCACTTTCAAGGCAACTTTGGTATATTTGGACTTTTAGATGTAAGAAGACAACCGAGTTTTCCTACTTTGTCGACACCTGACTCTCGTGTCGGTAGCCATGGTACCTCGTCGAAGGAAACTTAAAATTGAGTGTTAATCTTCCTAAAAATAAATGATTAGAACGCGAATGAAGAAAATAATCAAGTGTTGACAAAGTAGTAAACCTCTATTTTTTCGTTCCAATTTGTCGAAAATTCAAAACCTAAAGACTAGACTTTTAGATGCGGTTCATCAATACTTCAAATACTTAAATAAATAAAGAAAGTTAAATCTGGCGGATGATTTCAAAGTTGCAGAGGAGGCAAACATGTTAAAAATTGGTGCTAATAGCTAGTTCTAAAGATTACAACAAAATTGCAGAAGCAGGTGCGAAACTTTTGGATATTGACATATATTGATATATAAGAACCTGAGTTTATGTCTTTTCAGATTTGCAAAACTAAACTTACTGGCTGATAGAAAAATGTGTTCCTGCTGATGTCCATGAACATGAATTTATCTATACAATACATTACTGCAGAGTGGTCCAAGTATTCCTGAGCAAATATTTCTCAACGTCAGAAGGAAATGCATGCATTATTTCAGTGTTAGTTTATTTGTATCTATTATAATTTGCTTTAGTTGCTACGCCAATGCTGAACTGATCTGAACTTGAAAAACTGTATACACTTCTTTCAATTATGTAGGTGCTAGCTAAGTTTTATTTAAACTTCGTTGTTAGACTCATCGATTATTTTATAGTTTGTGTTCGTTCATTTCCTGATTCAATATTTTGTGTCTTGAACTACTGGTTCCAGCGATATTCGATATTCTGACCTTCCSGTGCTTAGACACAGCAAAATTATTATTATTATTATATTCATTATGCTGTGGCTCAGAAGTTAAATACCAGAAGTCAKAAATATACACCTGTTTAACTAGTAAATTAAATACGTTCAGAGAGCTCGAAAMTGTGTATTTCGTACCTTTWAGCAAACYTTATCTWATCCCTTTCGTYGATGACAAGATCAGACYATTCGGCTTGTTTTGAATTGAATGTTTTACMAGCTGRAACTACGATAATGCTAAATGRTCTTATTGCTTCAATATCAACTTAGGTTTAAKAYRMTWTMRACTSMWGTTYYWTSAACAGGCTGTTTTCATTGGCATATTGGCAGCATAATTTTGTAATGATTTCTAAAACTATTTTGGCCCCCTAATAATGTGGAATTAAAACATAAATATGTTGAAGACTTTGTGAATAAAAATTTATAAAAATAAAAATTTGAAGCGAACTAGCTGAAATTAAAATTMAAAYTCCTTTATCTATGTTAAAAAGATATAACTTTTACATACGTCAGTAATATTGATAAAATTAAATAAAATACAATTAATTAGATAAACTGATAAACACAGTGACAGATACGATCAGAGCGACAGACCAAACTCAGCCTTACATTGAACATCAAGTCAGGGTTCAAAAACCAATTGGTGAAAAACCAAAAGAAACTTTGGCAGCTATTCACACACAAAGCAGTAACTGGTTTAACTTCTGAAGTGCCAACTCATATTCATTCGCAGAATTCGTGGCAACATATATACATATTTACCGAACTCAAAAGATGATTTTCCACACCTGACGTGATGTTATCGAGTAAATCGTCACGGTCGTGCCCCTAGATTCTGAATATTGTTTAAATCACCTTAAATAAATGATAGCAAATAATACAATAAACTTTATCATATTTTCCAGACTGATAAAGAAATCGATGATAATACTTATTATTTATTATTAGACACATTTCTGCGATTAAATGCGAATTCCATGACACGACATGGGAATCATACAGTTTGTTATAAGATCTTAATTAAAAGTACACCGACAGAGCTCGAACTAATCGGTTTAGAAACCCATACACTATCTATATCTGAACCAAACCTAAATTGATAACAATTCCTAAGCTACTATAATTTACTTGTATGCAACATTAATCTAAATACGTTTTTGAGTCTTTAAATCCCCTAATCTGACGATTTAGGCAATGAACACAACCTATTTAATTTAGTCGTTTCTATCGTCCAACACGGAGTTAGGCAGATTGAATTTGAATGAACTGTCGCTGAATGTATTCGAAGCATCTGACCCATGGCATTAGTTAATGAAATAATTTGAGAAATGCCCTATTTCTAATTGAATTTGGCGTGGTAAAGTCAGTCTAAAGTTAGAATTTGCATGGTTACTGTTGAATAATTAAATTAAATTAACCATTTATTTAGTATTTGGTGCGTTGTTTTTTTATCACCAGTTTACTACCATGATGGCCGAGTTAATGATTTCAGCCTATTGGGTGTGTAAATGTAGTAATTAAAAATTAACATGGTTGTAACATTTTATTAATACAGATGCACTAAGTGTCCCCGGGTGTTAATCCCTACTACTATTAATCAATTAATAAATTAACCGCCTCGTGTTAATAATTATTAAACCTAATGTTTCTCCAGCGTCTGCGTCAACATGTGTTGATTGTGTTCATGACACGATGTTTTGAGGAGACGAAATAATCCACCTGCCTGGATTCCATAAAAATCCATTTCCCAGACAAAAACAATGGCGGGAGCTCATATTTCTTATTGTGAAAAACATCGGAACGCATTTCCATCAGTCCCGGAAATATTCTCAAGCTGATATCGATAAGAACTAATTCAAATTGAGTTGAAATTGATACTGAAACTCCGTTCCGACTCAATGAAATCGATCCTTCAACTTTTTCTTATTTCAAGACTTTAATTTAGAAGTGCAGATAAATGTTTGGCTTATACATGACGATAGATAGCTTAATATGCATATTCAATGAAGTGAAAATTTATTTCGAAAGTTACTTTCGCAGCTCGATTTCGCGTAGATTTAAATCACTGAGCTTTTTGCTCGAAAACCATGAACGTTTTGTTTATTTAAACGTTGAACAGGAAGACATAAGTTCTTAGTCGTACGGAAAGGCAATTCAGTCGATTCGACACCTGGTTACAAAGTTATTTTGGAAGAGAAAAAAGTAGATTGGTGTAAACCTAATGAGCCAAATTTAATGTGTGAATTATCTTGAACGTCAATAAGATATGAGAAGAGAACCTGAACCAAAATCAAACCATACTCCAGTTGTTAGAAAATATCTAACGAAAGCATTCGTACCGTAAGTATGGCAAAATAAATGATCTGCAAGGATTTTTTTAAGTTAAACGTGGCAAAAAGGTTAAGATAGCAATGACATTTATTTCCCTACTTGCTACACCTCTTTATTTACCTATTCTTCAGTTATTTGCAGTTGGTCTAGCTAAGTCGCTTATTTTCTTGTTCTTTTCAATTGTTCTTCTATTACAGTTTTGTTGTTTTTAACTAAGGTGTTTCGTGTATTTTTAATTCTTTTAATTCATTTGGCTTTAAGTATTAGTAAGTAAGGAAAGTAAGGTAGTAGTAAGTTAAGAAAACTTGCTTTGCTGTGGTTGAAATTGATACAGTATTAATTTTAGTTGAAGTTGGACTAGATTCTCTTGGACAAATAAAGAAGAGCTCTTTTACAGGTTACTTATTTTTCTCAAAGAACAGCAGCTACTAGTTCGTTATCTCCTCATTTGTGCCCCCTAATCGGCTCTGCATCTGCTGTGCACACTTGAAAATTACGATCCAGAACCCGATTCTTCATTTAATATAAACTATGCTTGAAAGAAGTTCCGGCAAGTTAAACAATGTCAATTTTGCTTCAGCCCAAATAGCACTGCAGTCAAAGTTATATTTGAATATATTTCTGCTGCTAAATATCCTACATTTGGGGTTTTAAAATTTAATAGCAGCTTGGACTGTTATTGTCGTTTTATTACTGATACCACTCACTCTGTGTTTGCAATAAAACTTAATTTCCATACATGCCCAAATACGCAGATATTCGCACACAATCATAAACTTTATCGAGTCTATGCAGAACATGTTCTGGATGGTATTACAACACCGCACAGCCCATTTGTAGATTGTTTGTTAAATTCATGGATCATTTAGTATGTCGAGGACACAATTGGTGCCCAATAACATCTCTATTAAGCGCCATATTAGATAAATCGGAAAGCGACCGAATTACAGCAGTTTGGGTTTGAGTGCTTTGGATTACCAGATTTATATGAACACTACGTCGGATTGCTTTTAATGTAATATTTTAGCAATTAGCCTACGTTCAAAATAATTAATAGTTTAAGCCCCGTTTCTGGAAAACCAATAGAACTACTAAATAATTTCTAATAAACATCAGTTGCAATCCTTACAAGTTCCTTCTGTTTGCAAACATTTTTTAAATTAGGGTTTGAATAAAAATGTGTTGTAAGCTAGTGGCAACGTGTCTACTGAAAACCAATAGAAACGATCCCATTTGATATGCATTTTATCGACCGATATTCTATTAAATTTTAAAATTTTTCTATCCCACCGCCACAGAAAAAGTGACACAACTCAAAACTTAAATCCGGCAAAAGAGGAAAAGCGGCACTATTAGTAATGACTGCGCTCAATATTCCAGGTCTATAAAAATGAATGCATTTAAAATCCTTATATCTGAGCAGTCCGGACGAAATTGAATGCTTTTTCACTATGCTAAAATGAGAGAGAATTCGGTGAAATTCATGTTGAAAAGAGAAAGAAAGCACCAGTCTGCTTTGAAAAAACCAAAGGCTAGAAATATTTCAATTTATAGAAAATTAGATAGTCGAGTGCATGGAGTTGAGTCGAGTAAATCACAACTCAAAAATCTAAGCCGATATATTTTTAAAGCGTTGATTTATTAAGGTCAGATTTACATCTTTCATACGGTATCACATTTTTTGAAATGCGGTTTTGCTGCTATTGGTAGATACAAGCTTTTTTTTGTGAGTTTCAATAAACGTTCAAACTGTTCTAAGGTTTTATATTGTATAAAGCTGCCAATATAAATCTTAAATTTAAAACCTTAATCGTAAGTACAAGTTGTTTTTTATTTTGAATTAATTTTTTGTGTATAAACAGATTCTGATAATACAATTAACCGGTTGTAACTGGAACTAAGGACTGAAATAAATAAAGAATAACGTATTAAGCAATTGGTTTCCTATTAGATATAAATGGCGGAAATCGAAAATATAAGTAATTTAGTACATCAAAAACGACACAAGCCAAAATCCGGAAAGTTTTTATGGGGTCAACAGAATTAAAATCAAACCTAAATTGTGTCTTTATGCCTACGAATCAAACCCCACTAAGGCCACCAATTTGATATACTAAATTAATTTTTATTTTTCCAATCCATTTAATGTTATTATATCTAACTAATTTAAAAACTTTGCTTTAAATCCGTCTCCTGAATAGTTCTACATTTTTCAGTTGTGACATTTTTCTTGAAAATGTGCTGATCACATACATTGAATAAGTTATGTTATTTATAGCTGCTCACAAGAATCATGTTTCCAAGAATTAAATTCGTAAATAAGCAAAAAGGTTGTACTCGACATGCTGAAATTGTACAAAATCGAAGTTCACAAAATGGGTGTGAACTGAACCCATACTAAAACAATCAAGTCTGATCAATAAATACTTGAGAATTATTGACAAAAAAATTAAATAATATAAGCGATGACGATGTGCTTCCATAAAAACTGTTCTAGGTGTAGGGA